CGCAGAAGAAGTGCAAGGAACAGACCCCAGATACCCTTGATAAGGACTAACGGTGGCGATGAGCTTGCCAATAGCAAGAAAAAAGCTGCATATTTTTCAGTCTTTCCAATCAGTCTACACAAAGAGGCAAGGTTTCTCCCTCAGTCAACAGAAGCACTGCCGAATTCGACCACAAGTAATATACTCTTCGCAGAAGGTGTTGTCCGAAGAGAATTGGAGGCACCGAACGAATCGAAGTCGCCAGGACCAGAGGAGATTCAACCCAAGCTTCTAATAGAACGTGCTAATGAGCTTTCTGTGCCTTTGTCGATGCTCTTTCAGACGTCATTTGACAGTGGAATACTTCCTATCAGCTGGAAGCTGGCGCATATTACTCCGCTATACAAAGCAGGTAGCAGGGCATCGACGACAAATTACGGGCCCAAAAGCTTAACATGCATTCGCTGGAAAGTTATGGGGAGGACCATAAGCTCACAACTTGCTATCGAACTGCCAACAGGGGTTCCGGAAAGAAAGATCCTTTACGACAAACTTGGTGCAATCTCTCCAGAACTGTACGAGAGCTCTCGACAACAGCCACGCGGTTTACATAACTTTCACTGACTTCTAGAAGGCGTCTGACACTATGCCATACCAGAGCCTGTTGCACGAATTGGGAAAAATAGGGATGAGAGCCAACTTCCTCAAGTGGATCGAAAACTTCCTTATTGGTCAACAGCAGGCTGTGTGCATCGCTCAAGGAAAATCAGATCCTGCTGTGGTCGAGAGTGGTGTTTCCCAGGGGTCAGCACTGGGATCCATTTTGTTCCTAATATACGTGAACGATTGTGCAAGAGCTTTGGACTGCGAGGCAACAAGGTTTCCAGACGACATGAAGATATGGAATGTAGTTCGGGGCCCTGCCGACGAAGACAGTCTACAGATGAACCTTAATTGGTTCGAGGAGTGCTCAAACCATTGGCTCCTTCCGTTTAACATTGGTAAGTGTAGCATAATTCGCCTAGGCAACACAGACAGATCCGCCAGCCCAAGAGACTACTTCCTTGGCAGTGCAGCCTTACAAGGCGTCCAAGCCCAAAAGGACCTCGGTGTGCTGACGACGAACTCCCTAAAACCATCCACACATTGTTCGAGAGTGGCATAAAGCGCAATTTCCGTGCTGTACGCCAGCAAGCGTGCGTTTATGGATTTTGACGAAGAGGTTTTCTAAAAGTCATCCAGAACATTGATGCGGCCGCACTGGGAATACGGCACGCAAGCCTGGAGACCATGAGCAGTTCAAGACCAAAATTGCCTCGAAAGAGTTCACATGATAGCCACAAAGATGGTGAGGGGTCAAAGCTCCTTTTCTTATGCAACCCGCCTAGTAAATTTGCACCTCCTCCCGTTGAGGTATAGGCAACTGCGCGGGGATCTCTTACAAGCGTTCCTCATAGTGAAAGGATGGGACTGCAGCCTGGCCTGTGGGGACTTTTTTTGAATTCTCGACCACCACCAACCTCCGAGGTCACCCGTTAAAACCGCGCAGTCGGCAGGCAAGGCTGAATGTGCGGAAGCTCTCCTCTATCGGAGCGGCCAAAAGATGGAATTTCCTCTCTGCAGATGTTAAGATGTCCCCATCGATACAGTTTTAAAAAGAACCTCGACACATCTATGTTCCGAAATAACCAAGACTGATGAGAAATCGAGCTCATCCCCTGTGACTCACTTCCACTTTGCCATACCATTATGCATTAATTGGAATTATTTCAACCAGATCATTTCTCCATACATTGCACCTAGTCTTACGTTGTAAATGGGGCACTCAAATGCATAAGTATATTTCCCTCAATAAACTGAACTGAGCTGAACTAATATAGAAGCGTGATTCGCCAAAGTGCGTCCTAGCGGGGTAAAAGAGCGGGCCATAACTCAGTCGACGGAGAACGCATTCACCATATGCCCCAGGTATGTGGGTAACCGTAGCTGCCGAAGAGGGTAGCGCGAGCTGGGAATTGCTCTCGTCGACTGTCGGATAAACGGGCTTAGACATTCGCAACCTTTTATTTATGCTGACCACATATGCCCATATGCATTCACAAAATATGCAACCAAACATTGCCTGGAGCAAGTCCATGTTAACTCCCTGACTCTTTCAGCGTGGAGCTCAAAATTGCTAGTGAAATCCTCTCCATTAAAATGTTGCTGTATGTGTTTTGGACCTGAAAGACCACCCCAACCAGTAGTCTTTCAAGGCACACCTACGACTGAATATGCCACCATTAAGAACTTATGTTTAAGCTACTCAAATAATCTAGATCTCTCGCCACAATTACGGCCAAAGATGCCCACATTGGTGGTTTTATTTCTCAGAATTTTCATCTTCCTGAAATGGAATTAAGACTTTATCGAATTTTTGTACTTCCCCCTTCTCGGACATTGCTGCCAATTCTTTGGTTTGATGAACGAGGCAAGTCGTTCGAAAACTGAAAAAGTTCGAAGGCATTTTACCAGAAGACTCTTAAGCACGGCGCATCCAAATATTTCCTACTCAGATAGCTGCCAGCTAAATGACCTAAGATTTCTATGGGTTATAAGAGTAGAAGCAGTCTTCTGTCTCCTCTTTCACATTAATAATAGTTCAAATTTTCCTCAGATTTCAGCCCATATCCCTGTTAGTCGTCCATGCAATCTTCACAATTCTTTCTTGAATATACCTCCTCCCGCTTCCTCCACCTCTAAGCGCTCTCTTTTTTCGCTTCCAGGTGCATTTTCGTTAGGAAAAACCTTCCAATAAATATAATATTATCAGATAATCTACATGCATTTAAGGGAAGGTTGTGCCCTTATCTGAATACCGGCTCGAATAAACTTTTATTTTCCTCATCCTTTCTGGAAAACTTTCTCTGTCACATTGAGAAAGGACCGTCCGGAATTTAGGACGTCGCCACACAATTGCCGTATCTGCTTGCATTTCCTTCTCTGTGTGTGGCTTCGCTTTCAAGGATCTTTCTTCAGAAATTTAGATTTTTTCGACTTTTCAGTCCATGTATCGTGTCCTTCACAGAACATGATGTTCTCCCTGACAAATCCTATCGAAGAATTAGGGGGACAGATTAACGTGCACGCTCTAGGCCACCTGCGTTTCGGTAGTCGCCGGCCCTCATCAAGAATCCACTCTGGTCTCCGAGCTTTCGAGCACTCGCCCCCAATCGATGATTTTCGCGATTCTTGGTGTCATCTCCTCATCTCGACCCAAATCAGTCTGTTGACTCTCACCGCGGAATCCCCTGTTTTCGCCATTTGCTAGTAGTTTGGTTGGTCAGCAAAGAGGCCTCAAGATCGTATCTCCCTGCACGCTTTGATGACCGCCTTAGCCTTTAATGTCCCCTCCTCGGCTAGACTCTAAGCGGACTGTGGCCGGTCGCGTTTGGGTTTCTCTCATCTCGTCAGTGTGAGGCGGATAGCCTCATCCAGCTTAGGAATTCTGCCTTGACGATGTCCGTTTGAAATTCCTTAGGCACTACCGCTCGCAGGTCAGCCTTATACGCCCCACATATTTACCCTCTCATAAGGGACAGTTTTTCTCCTTATAAGCTAATCAATTCCTATTAACTTTATCTTTTTAGAAAAAGGGAGTTTTCCTCACTGCTCGCTAACCGTTTTTCATAAGCATGAAGTGAATACTAGGAAAAGTCCGTATACTCGATCCAAAAATTCACCTTAAACTCTATTTTTACTTGCTTTGTTAGTATTCAAAAGGTATATAATAATTCAATTTATGTCTTTATTTTCAAGTCCACCGGATAAGCTGACAAAATGATTTCGCCTTAAAGCTGAATTATCTCGTCGTATACAGCATGGGATATGGGGGACTTGGACATCTTAATAGGTACGTGGATTAGTGGAAGACAGTTTATTTACTAGTATGCATATAAAATAGTAAAAGACCAAAACTCTGGGGACTGAGTGGAACTCGCGTCGCTTAACTGATTAGTAATACGTCTCGGAGTCGGTAAGACGATATGGACAATGTCACTATATGCGAACTAGAACACGAAAGGAACATAAAAACTTAATATGGAATAACAAAAACAGACAGGATAGAAAACGTTAAACGACAATGGGTGATTTGGCGTTTGCAGCAAGTATCGTCAGTCTGTGCCCACGTGAACACGAATTATAAAAAAACGGAGAAGGAGAAAAAGCTGTTTAAAACAACCTCCTGCTATATTACGATGGCAGATTTGGTGCTGCTGCATGGTTACATGAACGGTTGCCAACTTTTATTTGCGTTTGCGGGCATTTGCATTACTATTCCCCATAACGGTTCCGTACTTTACAATTTCGTATATCTCTTTGGCTAGCCGTTGTTACCATTGCCTATTTGCTAGCGTTAAACACTCAGCGAGATTTGTCAAGCATGTTTAACAAGATTTTTCACAAAGACTGTCGAGATCCTCTTAAGAATGAAACCTGAATGTTCATAGCACAGAATAACTGTACGTTTCATTTACTTGGAGCAATTTGAACTGGTCGAATTGAAGTTACTGAGCGTCTTTTTTAAGCAACTGCAGTCAACATTTCGTGTCAGATTGTATGAGTAGCGCAGTTGTCGACGTCCCCGTCCGTTTGTCATGTGAACACTGCACGTAATTTTACGTTTCAAATAGGGTACTCAGAGGTCATACCTATTTCCCTCAATAAACTGAACTTAACTCTACTAGTTCGCCCCGTCTGTGGGTAACAGACAACGCCTTAGAATATCCTCTTTTGCTAATATTCTCATTTAACCTCTCAATCGTTTGCATGGATGTAGGAAGAGGGTATAGGGTTTGAGAATTCATAAATTCTTAAATAACCACATGGTTATCATCAGCTTGAACTTTTACTGCACCCACTTACGAAGCGGCACCCCTGATTCGTAGGCGTGTTGCTTGCCGTGTCCATTTTGGTTAAGTTTGATTCATTCGAAGTTTTTGGGTCTTCCGGAGTTCCCACTTCGGTCAAACTCCGGCTAAATGGATTCATCGAACAGTTCTTCTCCCCAAGTGGACGCTAAACCCTACGATGACGGACCCGGCTCGATTGAAAATATACATAATAAGGCGCACGATATTTTCCCTGTCCCGTTCTCTGGAATTAAACTGCTCATAAATAAGGGACTGTCTCCACACTTCCAAGTCAACCATTCGCTCACCCTTAGCAGCAATGAGTCTGCTGGGTATCGATTTGGTGCCACATACGCCGGTCATAACAAAGTTTCGGAATCGGAGGCGTATCCCGTTTTAATGGGCGAGCTCCAGCCGGATGGACAGTTACAAGCACAAATGGTTACACAAGTCTCCCCGTTGATTCGGATGAGATACCTTGCCCAGATCCAGCGCTTTAAAATGGCCGGACAACAACTTTCCACGGAATTTCGTGGCGGCAAATGGAATGCTGGCATTACTCTCATTAATCCCGACATAAATCGTGGACAAGTGATGTCAGCGATCGATACTGTGCGTCAAGTTTCCAAGAGGTTTTATCTTGGAACGATGTTTTTCTACCACTTGTCCTCACAACTACCTGGCGGCCAGGATGGAGTATGGAGTTTTGGGGGAAAATATGTCTCGGACTTCTGGCAGTTTGCTGCAACCGCCCGGCCTTACCAGTTGGCTTTCCATAGTAGTTTCCACATGAAAGTAAACGAGAATTTACAACTTGCCGCCGAGCTTGAGTCAAGCTACCAACAGCAGACTAGTACGGCCACTGTCGGCTACCAGTACGACATTCCAAAGTCAAACGTATCTTTCAGAGCTCAACTGGACTCGAACTGGAATATTTCTGCAATGCTAGAAAAGCGGCTGCTGCCGTTCCCGTTCACTTTTACCATAAGCGCTCTTGGCAACCACGTCGCTTCCAAGTACGAAGTGGGCGTCGGCTTAACCGTTGGTTAACTACGTAGACCGGTAGTCTTATTATGCCTCAATAAGTGATGTATCCGGGGTTCGTTTTCAATTAAATGCACGGAATTTTTACCTAAGTTCGCGGAGGAACATGTGTAAATATCCCAAAACGAACTCGTTGTTTAGGCTTTACTTGAGGGTTCTATCATGTACCTTTGCCACTTAGTCGATTTTTGGCTGACTTGGAGAGCTGTCTCATCAACATTCAAGTAAATTTTATTATCTTGTTTTATCATCTTTTATAAATGCTATCAGACTTTTGGAAGTACGAATTGGAACCGTAACCACTGACATGTATTCAACCTCTGGTAAAGGGTTCTATATACGGCCGTTCGGACGCAGGTTATTAGATCCTGCGCACAAAGCAACAATCGGTTTCGCTGAAGTGTGTGACGTGTTTCGTACGCCTATCCTTTCGTTCTGTTACTTTTGCCACTGGGATGATGTATTTGAATTCCGAAATTCCACCCAGTTCGAGTACTTCCTAGGTGCGCTTTATAAGCTTTGAGCCCCGACAATCGTGATTACGTAGATACTTTCCTAGTCGACGGCGTACGTGTTAGTTTAAGCCCGATTAAACCTTTATTTTATGAATTCTCCGTAGCAATATTTTTCATTACAAATAATTACGAGGGTCGTTTAGAATCACCATAACTCAAACTGCCCCCGTCGCTGCGCTCAAATAGTGGTAATGTACTAGAACCGGGCGATGCTGATGGGGGTTGAGGTGTGCGAGATCGTTTGCGGAGGGAGTTTTGTGTGCATTATGAACTAGCAAATCTTGAATAACGGCTACAGTACAGGACCTTCCTTCGTGAATAGTTGTGATTGGCAGGCAATGTACTAAGGGGACAACTTAACGCTTGGATCCGCTGGGTGCGGTTTACAGCACCAAAGACCTTCGCAACGCCTTGGAAGGCCGGAGTTGCATTCCCGATTACCGCAAGTTTCTTGTGCTATCATTCCAAATATGCTAGGTCTTGGGTCCGAAGGATCACCTCTGATATTTTGGTCAGTTGAAGTTTACCACCTGCTAGGTTTCTTATGTCTATCAGACACTATTTCAGCCTGAGAGTCAATATCCTTCACGGCGCGAATCCTTCATAGAAACGTTGCGTACGTAATCCGGTAACCAAGGAATTGATTAGCGTGACCGCTAGTCATGGTGGAATGAATGATCGGCAGGTGAAGTTGCCCTTTGCTCGGTTACCAGTAGATCTAGGCTTGTTTTCCCGACTGGCGGTCGTCAGATCGTGGTTTTGCGCCGAGCTGAGTCGTTCCTGTTCGTGTCTTGACTGACAAGTGCGGTCCAGAACCTAGTGCCGTCACACAATCTCGAACCCCACCCCCCGTTGGATGTGCCCGGTTAGACCGCAATTGATATGTTTTGTTACGGCGTGGTAATGCACGGGGACTTTGCTGTTTTTTTGTCGACAGCGCTATCCGACTTCGGGGTCTATCCCTTACCCTGAGATGTCAGGCCCAGCTGGGGCTTGCAGATCCGTCTTAGCCTATTTAGCGGTCTTTATTGACAGGCTTACGACGTTTATTCATCCTCTCGACATATCGTTAGATCCGACACCAACGGGGTCAAATTAATTCGCGCTGATTCCTCAGCTCTTAGTAATCTGGCTTAATGGCAGCCATTTATATTATGGCCTGTGTGCGACTTAAGTCTTGTAGCATGCAGTTAATCACAATTGCAACTTCCCTAAGAACCTCGTTGCCGGTTACAGACGCTAGGATATGTCCAGGATTTTTCACTAGGCGACCGTGACAGTAAATTTGCTAGAATGAGATTGGGAAGACCGGTCTCAGCATTTATACGTCTACGCGTCCCGACAAGAAGGAATTCTATGCACTCAATGTAGCATGTAGGAGTGGCTGGTAAAACAAGTTAGGACGGGTCAGTTATGGAGCACTGTGTTTGTCGCGAGGGTGGGAATAATTGACTTTGCCTTCAACTTTGGCAAAGAGCATCGTGGTATGTAAACACCCCGATTTGTGCGCTACTCGTGGTCAAATTCTTTCGGCCCGCAGCTGTCTTTACCATCGATGTACGGTGCTTACTTTGGACTGTTAGACATACCCTTTAGTCTGACACTAATCCTCTTCGGGGGTTACCGCTATCAACCAAGCCAATGTGGAAAGGTGGTGGATGTGCACGTCTTTTCGTTATGCAGCTGGCTTATTTTCCATCCGCGCAACAACGCACTCGAAATTAGCGTTCAGGTCCCGAATAGTGCCGATCTTGATCGTTATGTCCTATACACCTGTATCAAGCAATGCGTCGCTGTGACAAGGAGTGGCGAGTGCTCTCGCCATCGGGGTCAAACACAATGCGGGCCTGATAGCGGCTCTAGCCTGTGAGATCTCGGTAGCTTGGGAAAAAAATGCAAAGGCTGCCCTGCTGACATCCCCGAGAATGTCGTCTCCACATAGCGTACCTACTTCAACTACAAGGCCTGCTGCTCTCGGGTCTATACATATTGTTTCTACTCAACTTTGGAAAGGGCGGCATCACAGCTGTGGCGACACAGGAGTCACTCAAACACTGCGAAACCACAAAGGGCTGCCAGCGCATTTGTCTCGGGCTCTGAAGCTGAAGTCGAATTCTTTCATATCACCATCCTTTGTCATCATTCGTGATCGATGAAAACTTAAAAGCATTGCCTCGGCATTGCTACGCCTGAGATTTCGGGAGTTATTTTTGCACGCGATGATGATTGGGAGGAGGCGGTGGATAGCTTTAGCGTCAATAATATTCGAGTTCCTCCTGCCCAAAGATGTGTCTTGGCCACCCTCCCGCTTACAGCCCATCATGCTTTTTGGCTTGTTTGTTTCTAGTCCAGAAGTAGGTCCCGTATTCGCGCGCAATGAAATTCGGCATACTTTAAGTAAAAATGACTGGCTGCTGTTTCAGTATTTATAAGCATTGCCTGGAAGGTTTCCAACTGACGGTACGACTCAGACCTTGCAGTCGGCCCTGTGCCCAATGGCTTCTTCATAACTTAACCCCAGTGGCACTCCCACACAAGTAAGGTTCGAGCCGCCCACCTCTTTGTGTGAAATCCCAGCGTGCTGTGTGGGGACCAGGTCATGCGTGGATTAAGCAACGGGCTGTTAACTCTGTCAGTCACTTATACCCAATCTCTGCCTCAGCTGACTGGCCGGTTCAGACAGTAAATTAGTGTCTAGGAGAAGGAAGGGAGAGAGTGAGGTCGACTCCGAGGACTTCATCTCCACGGCGCTATAGACAGTTTGATGCGCCTTCAGACCATGACGGTACAGTAAAGTATGTGGCTTGAAAAGTGCCGACTGACGGGGCAACTCAGTCTTTCTCTCATGACGGAGAATCATAATGCAGTGGCCGCTGACACTCCCACATATATGGGGGCCGAACCGGCCGCTTTTTGTTTCTATGGGAACCTGACCCACCGTGGGCCGACCAGGCGTGTGTTTCACGCGTTGAAAGTCTGTTGAGCTTTGTAAGTCACTGCGTTCGATCCCGCCTCCGGTCTTCTTGACACCGCCCTGCCACCGGACTCAGGTAGGTTGGGGAAGAGAAAGTGTGTTAGATGCTGCGTAAGCCTACTAGAGCAATAATTCATGAGCAAGTCACCGTCTCTGCATCAGTCATGCTGTTGGACACGCAGTGGACGTCGTCGTCCGCGACGGACGAAACGTTGATGTAATAACGTTCGTATGCAACGATTAGGTATACCTACCTTTTAGAATATGCCTTTCGACCCATAGCTGTTTAAGTACTCTATTTAACTCTGCAACACTCCGACAAGTGTGAGACAAACGAGGGAAATAATCTCGTGAAAGCAGTGGTCCATTGAAGTAACCTCCAATATAGGAGAACCGGTCAAATGTTGGCCAAGGCTGCGAGAGCCACATATTTTCAGAGCTAGGGTCCGTTATAACAGAAAAGGTGCCGTCACGAGCGTTTTAGTGACACAAAACTTTCCAGGAATCACGTCTCTTAGCCCACCTGTGCTGTCGGTTGAAACGCAGCTGAATTATGATTTGGCTTATAGGCCTACTTGCTTTAACGAAGTAGGCAAACCAGTTAACATTAACGGGAACGCACAGTGACGCGGGGCCCAGAATAGAGATAATAGGCCAGCCTCGATATCGTTAGTTTAACATCAAAAAATTCTCGTTCCCCTTGCATCTGTTACTCCTTTACATTTATTTTCCTGACTCAGCTGCAAAGTGCCACTGGTTCTCTTGGACGTATTTTCTCAAAAAGACCCTTTTGACGAATGCTCACCTTAGTGCTGTCGAGTGTGTTGCTGTGGGCCAAAATCCTGTTCAAGTGCTGCGTAGACAGGAGGGGTGATGGTACGCGTAGGTGCGGGTTCGGCCGTGCCGGCCACCTGTGCCCTCCTTTACCTTACGTTATGTCTTAACCGTCTCTAGGTGGGGAGGAGAGAGTACAGCAGATGCTGCGAAAGTCTACATTAGTTATAAACCACAGTAGATGTGCTAACTCATGAAATGTCAACCAAAATTTCGAAAAGATAAACTAAGTAGCGTTGTAAAACTAATCATGATGCAGCATAAATCTATAATGATCCAGTTACCTCAGGGTGTCGGCTTTCGAAAGGACTTATTTTCGGCTGCATGCAAGATCCATATTCTGCAAAAAATGACTACTTAAGTAGCATGCAATTTTCCCATTGATTTTCGATGCCTTTGAAAATTCAATTATATTTCATGGAAAACATGCGAAAAATATTCATTATTTTACTTATTCGGTAGAAAATCACGCCTTCTTCCAATTTACTACTCAAAAGAAGAGTATAATTCGGTTTTAAAAAAGTTTCTAATTGGGAGATTTTTTAATACCGTTAAATGTCCGTTCATGAAACGTCATGTATCTGCATTTACGAATGTGGCTTGTAAAGTTAACAATATTGCTCAAATCCACTGCTTAATTTTATGAACCTCATATGGTCTCCTCTTAACACCGTAGAGGAATG